ATAATATTGGCATCTGATATCGAGACAAAAAATTATTCTCATAATTAAATAACAGTGAATGTGTTTATCGAAAAAATCATGATAAACAGTCAATTTTTGGAATAAAAAACGTTCTGTTTTTATCGGCCGAAGAATAGTCATTATTGTTAGACGCATCTACATGTCGGCGGAAGACCTACGCAGTTTCCCCACTCATATCCACATCCTTGGCACCGGCGAATACATCCAGAAGGACCTAGTGTAACGCAGGTACCCAACGATTGACCACATAGCTGAGAAGTTACTGTGACTAAAACAGCAAACAATTATGTAGTCGATGCTTAAAGTTATTCATATACATACGAGTTAGATGTGAGATGATTGTAAGTGCAAGTAAGACGAGGATGATAAAACGAGCCATATTTGAAATGTCAACTAATGAGTGCTGGATTGTATTTATATACGTCGGTACCATGAAATTACGTAGTCTTTCGATTTCTTATCTATTGATTCATATATGTGTCATCAAGTTTCGCCGAATACATGCCATCTGCATCCGTTTCCACAAATACTCAGCTGTTTATCATTCTCTAATAAATGAGGGTATGAATGTGGTTCTGTACCTCATCGCCGAAAAGGCGATCGGCGAAACTCGCATGGAAATGAACATCATCGAAATAGAGATCATCGATATACAGTTCGTCGAAATGCAGATTGCCGAATATCTTTCCAACGTCCATGTTTGTGAGTTTAGTTTCAGCGAATGGGTGTGGGTAGGTGTGGGTGTGAGTGGACGTTGGGATGATTAAAAGGATCACCACATTCACACCCACATGAGTCGATGCATCATGATTAGAGGAATCGAAACATGTGTGTTTTATCTTAGCTAAAGATTATTTTCATAAAGAAATCTGGCTTTTCTAAAATTTACCGCAATTTTACATGTAAATGGCAGAGTTAGGAAAAAAATATATTTGACCAGCAAATCAAAAAAACAGAGCAGAATCGGATAAAAATTGACCCCCGTGCTATTTTCACTCATATTGTACGATATCAGGTGAACATTTTTCAATCAATCATACATTAATTGTTAGAGAAATGTTTGCTCTATTCCGGAAACTAAAATTCAGCTCTGTATGTTACTGAAAACTTGAGTCAGTAATGTTTTTTCTGAAGATGTTTTCTTTTTCGGTAGAATTAGGTTCTCTGACAGTATATTAGGCAAGCAGAAACCATTTTTTCGATTATTGCTTCTAAAAAATAGTGAATTTATTTTTCTTATTGTTCTGTTCACATTATCAGAAGGTTAGTCTTATGCATAATAAAAGAATAAAACTGACAATGTTTTTATTTGTTTCGTACAAAGTAGAAAGAGAAAAAAGTCGTTTCGAGATACTCAAAGACAAATAAACGCTGAATAAGATAAGATATCCAACGCACTGAGACTCAAGTGATTATTATGTAGATGATAAGCAAATGAAAGTTGGAAAGAATAACCATAAAATAAGATTGTGTTGAATTTTTTCTCTTTCGTTTGTTGCTTATAATTATGTTGTTGTGTACTCAAAAAGTGAGTACACTCTAGAATCAGTCAGTGTGCCCGTCCGTCTGTCCGTTTACACGATAACTTTCGAAAGGAGAGTCCGATCACGATGAAATTTTCTACACAGTTTAGTCTCAACAATATCTCAGTCGAGTTCGAAGATGAGAATGATTTGCCAAGCCATTGCTGAGTTATTGCAAAAATAGTCATTTTTCCCTATGTTTCCCTATGAGAAGATCGACCCTTCTCTGTTTTCGTAAAAAACTTTTCCTATCATAGTCAAATAAAACCCTAACTAGTATATACCATTCGATAGAGAATTTCACGAGCTACAAAATGGTATATAAAACATAAGGAAATAAGAAAGCTAACTCACCTATTGCAAAGATAATTAAACGGAATTCGGTTCTGTTTTTGTTTGCCCTCTAATTGATCCAGAATTCGAACTCTATCTTCCAATTACAGAGATGATAGCTCGATGTTTCCTGGGGCGTAGAACTCGAATCTGTACTTCACTTGCCTCGAAATCCCATTGGTTGAACAGTAACCAATAGAAATGAAGTTATAGGAAAAACGACTTTCTTAGGGTAAGACAAGGTAAAGAGTTCAGATCTAAGCTATATTCATTCCCAAATCCTATTGGTTGAGCAGTAGCCAATAGAAATCAAGTGTTTATAGAAAAGATCTGCCAGGATAATTTTTATGTCCAGACATTCTAGGATGATTCATCTGTCTCATTCACTTTTTGAAGTACACATAACTCTAGGATTTAAATCCGAGGTTTCCACATTTATTACATTTTACCATCGCCATCGGTATCTCTAAACAAGTGAAAAGACTGACATGTATAATAAAAGAAAATCAGATCTGGTTGTTCAAAGAACTTCAATACGATCTTTCATTAACCAAAGTTCTAGTAACATTTTTTTTTTATTTAAAATGTAAGGCTGAAACAGCCTTGTTGAAAACCTCTACGTTTAATATCGATAGTATCCAGCTGCAAATCTTGTCTATATATCTAAAACTCCTTTAGTTTCGGTTTTCAAATCACTGGATTTTGCTTCTCATTATTTCGAAATATTTCGCATGATATACTAAAAGCATTTGTATGGCATTTACAGCGAAAAGCATATCTATATTCCTTCTTTTACACTATTTCTACATTCACTATGTGTTAGGCTGTGGTCATTATTCTAAAATCAAGAAACATTATGGTGAATGAATGTTGCCTAGACTGAAAGGTTAGGGTCTAGAAACCATAATTCACCTGTGTCTGTCTGTCTGTAACAAGGTCTTAGCACAAATGACCATTCCTGTGGCACAAATGACCATTGCTATGTCATGAATGGCCAATTGTATGCCACACGTGACCATTTTTATGCCACAAATGACCATTTCTGTGGCACAAATGGCCATCGTTATGGCACAAATGACCATTTCTATGGCATAAATGGCCAACTGTATGGCACAAACGACCATTTTTATGCCACAAATGACCATTTTTGTGCCACAAATGACCATTTCTGTGGCACGAATGACCATTTTTATGGCACAGATGACCATTTCTATAGCACAAATGGCCGTTTTTATTGCACAAATGACCATTACGATGGCGCAAATGACCATTTTTATGCGACAAAAGATTATTTTTATGCCACAAATGACCATTTCTAGGGCACAAATCACCATGTCTAGTGGATGATAGTTAGCCATGAAACAACTAAATATAGAACGATTCGCGATCGTTTAAGAGCGTGCCTGTTCTATCTGGGATGGTTCTTGAAACGGCAATAGCTGCTATCAAAGTAATGAATGGTTTCGTCCATTATTCAGTAGTATATGTAGTTCGATGCGCTGTGGTAATTATCAATAATCAGAGAGTCTGGATAGATATCTCTGATACAGTAAAATTTAAATACTCGAGTGATCCACTGATAGTCTTTTTCAAGGTAGAAGTAGCATTGAAATAACCAATTGCAAGTACCCCTATACATTTGAGTGTTATTTTTATCAATCAGTATGCATGTAACACAAGCTCCTTTGTAAATATGAAGAAGACACTAAACAATACAAGCGAGAAAAAAATTGGTACATTTTCAATTTGCAGGTAATACTCGTCTCATATTGAGTCTTCGAGCATTGAGTCTATAATACTAGCATACTACTACTTGTGACCACATATCTTTAATAGAATTGCATGAATGCTAAATATGTAAATATATAAGAAAATTAATGATGCATTCACTATACTCAATTGTCATAAGAGATTAAAAATCGGGCATTAAGAACAGTATGAAATAACGAAGATGAACAGATTTACAATCGTGTAACCATAAAAAAACTTTGACACATTACCGGTAGAAAAATCGATAGCAGTCCACATATAAACGGAACTTGCTGAACATGAGTAGCATATTTGAAATTGGTTTTTTCTCTCTACACATTAAAATCAAGTTCTATATTATCAAAAACTTGGTTTTGTGAAATGAGTTGCTGTTACATGTCCAGTTATCTATTATCTTGATCGAACACTTTGCCTGAATCGTGTTTATACCTAGATGCGCCTATACTTATATCTCTATGGCGTCAGTCTAGGACCCAGTGAATCGATCTTCGATGAACGTTACTTGTATAGTATTTTCTCACAGGTTACACTTCCGCTAGACATAGAAGCAAAATACAACAATATGTCTTCGATCGAAAACTTGTCTGAATCAAAGTTCTCTTGTTTTGATCGCTCGTTTTCTCATAATACTCGAGCATGTGGAACTTACTGTAGTAAAAATATGAATAGGGGCAGAATCCTTCTTCGTCGAAATATTATTCCACTTGAGAGTGAAATTACTTTCAATCAGTACGATAACTAAAAAGCCGAAACTCATGTTCATACCATATAGGTGTTCGAAAAATTCCAATTTCGTCGAATGGCTGATTCCGAATACGACACCTTCGGTAGTCTGATTCTCCTCTTCACTCACAAATTCACATCTACCCAGACTGTTTTTTTCTATTATTAATTCATTCCACAACTTGGAATCGGGGAAAATGAAAATTGCTAGAGGTAGTACACTCGATGTGTTTTGAATGCAAATGTTTATCGAGGGTGTGGGTGTGGGGTAGAGCCCGTCGGGTCCAAGATTTTTGGACCCGAAACCCGATCCGGACTCGATTATTCAAAATTTTTTCTACTCGGACTCGGACCCGGATCCGTTTACTATTTGTTGGACTCGGACCCGGACCCGGATCCGGTCGCTTAAATCTTTTGAACCAAAACACAATGATAAATCAGTTTATATACATAGGGCAGTCAAAACGTTCTGCAAACAGCTGTCTAAAATTTCATCCTAATTGGTTTTATTCCTCATGTTGGCCTATTCTAGTAGTGACATCTCTTATGTATTAAAATACCAATACGAAGTTTCACAACTGTCTATTATGGCAAATTTTCAACGAATTTTTTGAACACCCCTGTTTTCAGATGGAAAAACAGTACATACGCTCATATATAAAAACTCGTTGGTTATTAGGTTTAACAGCTGCACAAATTCATGGTGAATTAACTACTGCTTATGGACAGGATGTAGTTTCATATTGTACAGTTACTCGATGGATTGAACGATTTTCAAATGAACGAGAATCTTTGGAAGATAATCCTCGAAGTGGTCGTCCAATAGCCATCATTACTCAACAAAATATTGATGCTGTTAAAGACTTGGTGCAAGATGACCCTCATATTAGTATTGATTATATTGCTGACATCTTAGATATATCACATGGTAGTGTGTATACCATTCTCAAGGAACACCTAAAGTTAAAAAAAATATCGTCAAGATGGGTATCTCATAAACTCACTTCAGCACAACAACAACGACGTGTTGAAATCTGTATTGAAAATTGACATAAGTTTGAAAGTGGTGCATGGAAATTAGGTGATATAGTCATAGGTGATGAAAGTTGGTTTTATCATCGCAAAATTAAATCAAAACAAGAATCTAAAGCATGGGTAGCGAAAGGACAAAATCCTCCAACAGAAGTAAGAAGACAACAATTTGAAGAAAAAACGATGTTCGTTATTTTTTTTATGACAACTGGACCATTACTTATTCATCAGTTACCACCCGGAACATCAATCAATGCCATATATTATCGTGATGAATGTTTAAAAAGCTTAGTCCAAAAGTTACACAAAAAAAGACCATCATCAACACCAAATGGCATTAAGCTCCATCATGATAATGCAAGACCACATATCAATGATATCGTTTTTAATTATCTTCAAGAAGAAAAAATCAAAGTTATGGCTCATCCACCATACTCACCAGACCTTGCTCCTTCAGACTTTTGGTTGCTCAGTTGTCTGAAACGTAGTCTTGATACATATCCAGATGCTACAAGTTTAGCTAAAGTAATAGCCAAGGAGCTCAATTCAATACATATTCAAGAATATCAAAAGACATTCCAGAAGTGGATTGAAAGGGTGAAACTTTGTATTGAACATCGTGTGGACTACTTCGAACATTTACTGTAAAAAGATTAGCAAAATATTTTGTCTATAACTAAATATTTGAAAGTTGCAGAACTTTTTGACTACCCTATGTAATATAGTTAACAAGTGTTTTGTTATTTTTTATCTATTTTCTAAATACATTCGATCTCTTCGCCTTCATAAAACGAACAAAACTTTAAAAAAATTCATAGTACATTGCATGCATCAAAGTTTTCTTTAGACCCGGACCCGGTCAAAACGAGATTTTTATACCCAGATCTGGACCCGATCAAAACGAAATTTTCAGACCCAGACTCGATCCTGGACCCGAGCAGGTCCGGGTCCTACCTGACGGGCTCTAGTGGGCGTGTGGATGTAGATGTGCCTGTGCCTGTGAGGTGTGTGGGAGTGGGTGTGGGCTGCGGAATACTGAACACCCACACCTCACACTCACATCCACACTCGCATCCTCTGTTTTCCTGGCATGTGTATAGCATGGTAATGTTTTCTTGAGAATGCAATATTTCTAGAAAGAAGCATTTGTTTTGGCTGAAACGTTTTGTCTAATATACTGACCATAAGACCTGCATGAGGACAAATTTTAGATCGAAATTCAGTAATTTGATTTTTCACTGAATACCTTGTCATAGGTACTAAACCCAGTAAAATGATCATAACTCGAGAAGGGAGACCTATGGGCCATTATTATTCAAGCTTTTTCTAGTCTCATCGAACCCCACATATGAGCAAAATATCAACGAAAACGGCGTGGATCAACTGGGAGCCGTCTCTTGTGAGTCTGGCACCCTCATGTGCTCTTCACGAAGATTCGCATAGTTTTGAGAAATAAACTTTCTAAAAGTTTCAGTTCTGTGCTGTTCGATCACCAATCAGTAAAGAAGTCTACAATGAATATTTTGTGTATTCAAAAAAGGGTCAACAAAACACTATGAACCTATGTCGTATTTTTTCGGAATGATACAGTATGCCTTTTATGTCACATAAGTCATTCACAGAGGAGAAAAAAGTTGATTGACGCATATGTTTTTGTTGTTCTTTCGCGGAAAGTCGATGTCCTTGCACACAGCATACTTGAATAGCGGCTTTCACTTGCAGAGTAAATGATTGATAAGCAAATAGAGAATGGCGCAATTTGTTGGCTGTGATAAGTTAGTTTTTTTTTCCAACTTCCAAGGCGAACAACATAAAGTCAATACACAGGTGAAGACGCTGAATCAGCAAGTATTGTGATGACGTTTGCGACACTGATGTAAGCGAATTTTTCAGACATTATTACGAAGTTGAAGGGTGTGGGTGTGGGTGAGTGTGAGTATTGATGAAGAGACGACTCACAGCTCGCCCACACCCACCCCATAGCCATACCCGCTCACAGTGACACCCGCGATAAATTTCGGACTATAGAGCAATATGTAAGAGGAAGAGACAAAAGCGTCCAATGACTGTCATGAATGCATGGTGTGTGAAAAAGCTTAATTTTTCGACGAATGTCTGTATGTGAAGGCGAACGCTTACTCGTTGTAGAAAAATATTTAGGATGGAGAGTGAAATATTCCGCAAATCGATCAGGCTGTCAGTGGCTTAGGATACCTTCAGAGTGCTTACTCATCACCCTGGATGACGGCGAACGCTTTCCAATCTCAAAGAAATTACATAAAGGAAAAGCAAAAAGCTTCAAAACCGTCATTTTGACTGTCATGTGGACATAAGTGTATAGAGAAGTCCTCACTCACAACAGTAAGCACATCATATCACCCCACATCAATCCACATCTACAATCAGACTTTGTTTAATACTCAATGATAACCAGAAGAATGACGACGGCGAGATTGAAGGAAGATTCCTGTAATCAAGTCTCTCATCTGGAAGAAGGATGTTGAGAAACAAATTGTACATCATTCATTTAAGAGTTGACAAATGACTCTAGCATCTTAAGTCGAGAGTGATTAAATCAATTGAGCAGGAGAATTTTGCTAGAGAGATCGTTTTTGAATAGTGTCATGACTAGGGGTGTCGTATTAGCATTAAGTTAAAAATAATGCTAATACTTTAGTATTAGCATTAATGGCATTAGTGTTAATTAATGCATAGGTGTGCCATTAATTTAGCATTATTTTTAATGCTAATACATATACTTAGTGTCACTTGTAGATTACTATCTTGACATACTACCTTTGACTTTTTAACAGCTATCCGATGGCAGTTTTTGTAACTCTTCAGGGTCTCTCTAGGGATACTCCAGGTAACTTAGCATGTACTTCCTATGGATACCAACGCTAACTTCTCAAGGACTGCTGAGGGCTACTTTGCGTAACTTTTGAAGCGGTACCTAGGAGTACCATTGCCGACCTCTTCAAGACTGTCAAGGGGTACTCTGGATAACTTCTCAAGGACTGCCGAGGGGTACTTTGGATAACTTTCGAAGAGGCCCCTAAGGGTACCATTGCTGATCTCTCAAAGACTGTCAAGGGATATTCTGGGTAACTTCTCAGAGGCTACCAGCAAATACCATTGTTAACTTCTCTAGGACTGCCAAGGGTACTATAGGTAACTCCTGAAGCGCTGCCTAGGGAAACCATTCCTGACTTCTCAAGGACTGTCAAGGGGTACTTTAAGTGTGGGTGTGGGGCGTGGGTGTGGGTGTGGGGCGTGGGTGTGGGTGTGGAGTATGGGGTGTGGGTGTGGGGTGTGGGATGTGGGGTGTGGGTGTGTGTGGGTGTGGGCGTGGGTGTGGGGTGTGGGTGGGTGTGAGTGTGAATATGGGTGTGAGTATCATTTCCCTCGTTACTCACGCCCACACCCCACATTCACACCCACCCACACCCTCCCCCATCCACACCCACCCACACCCTACCCCATCCACACCCACCCACACCCTACCCCATCCACACCCACACCCACACCCACACCCACACCCACACCCACA